TAAAATGAAATAAAAATCTTCTCCCTTTTAGGTAAGTAGACCAGCCACATATTAAAACAAAATTCTCAAAAAAGTAACTTGGTCACTCAACTGAAAAAAAATCCCCAATGAAACAATAAAGGTGGTATTTTACTGTACCTGAATATAGCTGTTCCCACCCCACATCCCCACAACTTATCCTTATTTCAAATATAGGACTCAAAGATATGGGCTCTAATGTTAATAATACATTTATCCATACTATGTTCATATAATTAATACAAAATAAATACATTTAACAAATACAAATGATTTTGAAGTGGGTCAATTACCAAAGGAACAGATGATCACCCACAGTTGCATTGTTAACACGTTTTTTTTTTTTCTTCAAGTGTAGGATTTCTCAATAAAACCATTATCACCCATTATTAATTTAAACCTGTACTCTTAAAGCCTCTATACTGGTGTGGCTGTGCTATTGAGCTGGGTGAGAGACCAGGCTCCATCCAGTCATCTATAGGGCTGTATGTGAGCATTGGCTCACTAAAGGCTAAATGTTAACACTGTAGCACACTCATAGAGAGCAACCAGGAGTAAAAGTAGATGCTGATGATTTATGTTGGCAATGGGACCCGAACCAGCTCTTAGCTTTGGCCAAAAAGCTGCGGGCACAAGATGTGCACGTTTACATGTCTTTCAATCGGTATATCTTGTAAAAAGGTCATATGAAACATTTTATTCTTACTTGTATTTTTTTAACCTTTTTTTTGCTTATGTGTTTTTTGTATAAATCTTTGTATAATCTGTTTTTAGACATAACAAAACAGATTAAACCAACAGAAAAAATTCAACCAACGAAAAAAATCTCATGCATAAGTTATGTCCCACTCTTACTGATTGCATTTGTACCATCTTAAAAAAATCTGTGTACATGTTTGTTCAACATAACATTTTTGTTTTTTGTACATTTTAAGCCATTTGCTTTTTCTTCTTTTTTTGGGGGGGATAAAATTTTTCATCCGATTTTCCAGCCAGCAGTTCCAGGTATTGCTCCAGAGTAGATTCCAGACACCAGACCTGTCTATTCCTGTACAGCAGGAGGCGCAAGAGGCATGTTCTGTGGGTGCTGGCTGGGGAAGGGGAAAGCGCTCCCTTAAAGAAGCTGTAGGGAAGCAAATGAGCATTTATCCTTTGTGATTTCAGTTCAGGTCCAAAAAATTAAACCCCATTTCCTATAACAATTCTTTTTTTGTTCTTTTTTTTTTTTCCTGCTAAAAAAATTGCTTCGTCATCCCGAAAAGCTTGAAAGAGACAGATACTGTAGATGACGTTTTAATACTTCTAACAACCTCCCGAGGCTGGAGTCTGGCAGCAGAAGTGGGACAGGACAGTCAGTCAGTTGCAGACAAGGACGGGGGGTTGGGGGGTCGGTGCAGGCGAGGTCACCCCTATCTGCAGAGGTCTTCTTGTGTAGAGTCTCGCACATTTTTCCTCTTCTTGCTGTTGCCCTGGTGGTGTGGCTTGTTGTTCTGATGACTTTTGGTGCTGGAGGAGCTCTGCTGCCCGTGGTGGCCGCTCTTCTGGTGAGAACGAGACATCCTGGCCTGGAGAAGGAACAGCATGGACAAAAAGAATTCAGTGTTCCTGTAGGATTTCCACTGGCTATTCAATACAACATATTGTATGGGCTGGTAATAGTGGAGAAATATGATTACATTATTTCATTTTATAGCTCTTTATCAAGCATACCTCATAAGAAAACAGCTAGGAGAGATGAAGCAATTGTACATAGTGAGGTGTGTTCAGTGATATGCAGCAGTACAGGTTTCTTTTAGAAAGTAAGTGTATGTACAAGGCAAGGCTGAGTGTACCTTTCCTCCCTTGTTGCTTCCAGATGGAGTGCTGGTAGTGTGGCTCTGTGTTCTGTTATTATTGACGACAGCGGACTTTTCTCTGTGGACACTGGAGCCCCGGCCAGGCTGCTGCTTGGCCGTCTTACACGGCGTGCCATCAGAGTCCTGGAGGAAACCGACAACCTTGATGACTACATAGACTAAATAGTAGACTAAAACATTAGTATGCAACAGTCTAATGTTTGAAGGCTGTGTAGCTGCGAGACTGACCGCATCGCTGGAGCTGGAGGTTGAGGACGTGGAAGAAGGCGACAGCGGAGAGGAGGAGGGAGAGGAGCGCAGTGAAGGGGATGGAGAGGAGGAGTTGGAGGAGGTTTTGCTGTGGGGAGCCAACGGTAGAACTACAACAACATCGTCATCATCTGGAACATTGTTGTTGCACTCATCGAGCTGCTGGGACTCAAACAGTGTGACGTCATTTCCTACAGAAACAGAGAAGGGACAGATGGAGACACAGAAGTCAACTGAGTCCAGTGTTAAGCTTACAGAGCCCTGCTGCTGTAGTTGCAGTAGTAGATTTAGGTCAAATCTTAGTTTCAATAGGGAACTTTAAAGAAAATGGTATGAGTTTAAACGTACTGTTGAGTGGCAGATCATTCTGAGACGGGCTCCCCCAGTTCTTTCGGATCCATTCCCTGTATTCATCCACTTCCTGCGTTACTCGGATGATTCGGCCAAGTATGCTGTGATGAGATACAGAAAGAGGAATACCAGGCAAATGTTACTGGTAAGGGCCTGAGACTCTCAGTATGATCAAATAAAGTCAACCATGACAAAAACAACTAGAATAAATAATTATTAGTCATTTATAATATTTCAAACAGCTGTGACAGCGTATGACTGGATATTGCACTAACACTATTCCAAATCAGATCATATTCAGTAAAAATTCATCAACATCTGGTCTATCGGAACAAATCTGCGATGTCGACAGCTTCCTTAATGAGCTCCTTACCTCTCAGACTCATTATTGGGATAGTACTTGGCGATGGGGGACACAGCGTGGCTGAGCACCACATAGGCGTAATCAAATGCCTGCTTCACCTGCATGGCACCGTATGAACTCCGGCCAACATCGTTGTCTGTTGGGGACAAGACAGTCAGTTTGTGTAAATATCAGAACCTGACCTTCATGTCAATCATGCCAGTCCAGTATCTGGAAAGGGAATTCAAATGTTGGATCTTTTAAGAGCAAAGCCACTTTAACCCTTTATCCTTCCCGTTCCTACCTGGCTGCAGTGGGTCCTCAATGTAGAGCATGGATGGCCGGTAGCCATCCATCATGTTCTTCTGAACCTCGTCTTTGGCAACGTAGCAACCTCCATCTTTTATCCTGATGCCTGTTTTCAGGTAGTTGAAGTGGCGGCCGTAGAGCTCAAAAAATTCAATGAGCAGAACACCAATGTTAATGTTGGGACTGCACACATCCTCCCGATAGTGAAGCTGGAAAACACACAGAACAAGTGGATGTCAGAATTATTGCAACTGGTTACGCAAGTGCTTTTAAGACGCCAATATAACATGACAATCTTTACATTGTAAGAACAAACATATATAAAAGATGAAGACAAACAATGAGTTGATTAAAAGATGAAGAGCTCTTGTTAATCATCATATCTGACCTGCAGGAAGCTGACAGCCATGAGAAAGAGACTGTAGGAGCCGATTCCACCGGTAAAAACCTCATTGAGGTCCCTCTGCAGTAGGAACTGCTTCAGCACCAGGACCAGGTAAGGCAGCACAGGGTATTTCTACAGGACAAAAGACAGACACTGTAAGGAACAGATTTAAATATTTATAGCACCCTCCAGAAGGAAAATGTGAATTTCAAGTCTAAAGGATGTTTAGTGACCTGCCCTACTGAACATTAATATGTAAAACCCGAATGGGTTATGAAATTGCTACTCTTAATATACCGTATAACACATTAAACCCCCATTAAGTAATGGTTTTGAATTAACTGACTTCCTGTGATGTTAAATGTTTGTTAAAACGCGCTGTTAAGAGCTACGTGTGCTACTACGAAACCCTTACGTTCTTAAATAGCAATTATAGTAGTAGTAGTAGTTTTTATGTTGTATGAAGAGTACCATTTAGATGTGAAGAGTACTGTTTGGATTTGAAAAGAGTTTTTGAGGCAATAAAAAACAAAACTATCTGTGGATCTCACAGAGCTCCACCTCTGTGCTACAGACCAAATAAAGTCTCAGTCAGGAAATCTGCAATAAGGCTGAAGCAACGTGTACACTCCAAACAAAAACACTGGCTACATGTGTTAATGATGAAGATCACATATCCCAAGGATACATGAAAAATGTAAGAATACAGAGAAAGGATGTTTTGCCAACGTTTCAAAATAAAACAATCTCAAGGTGGACACGTGTCACAAATTGTACCTCTTTGAATTCCTTGATGAGCCAGGCGGCTTTAACGCCACTCTTCACATTGAAGCTGATGTCCACTTTGACTTCAGTGAAGGAGTCCGTCAGTTTGATGATGGGAACCTGGGAACACACAGGTTACAGGTACTGATACTAAACAAGGACAGTTGGACAGGAAACAATCAAACGCCTGGCAAGTGCCTCCTGACATTGTGCTGTAAGATACTGTAAGACTGCAATTTAACCTACGTATACTGATCTAATCCTTAACTAAACTCCTTAAGCAAAATTGCTAATCTGCCCTTTAAAATGCCTAACCTGAAAGACAAATTAAGTCCAATCTATGCACAGTTTAAAAATAACACAAATCACTAATAAAGGGCTGGGAGTGGTTTGGAGAACATGTGATGAGGTAGACGTTAGAGATCCAAAGCAAAGAGCTAGTTCCAAGC